TCGCCTCTGTTCTTCAAGGTATAAGCCAAATAAATATGATCATGTGACAATGAATAGATCTTTTCAATCAAATGTAAAGCTTTTTCGTAATACACAGTTGCTTCATCGAAGTTTTTTAGTCGATAGAATACCTTGCCGATATTATTTAATAGAACGATGTAATTTCTAGTACAATGAGTCAACGTTGTATTATTGATATCTACTGCTCGATGAAATCGTTGGAGTGCTTTTTCATATTTTCCCTGTTTGTAGTATTGTTTGCCGATATTATTTTCAATAACAGCAATATGTGGATGATTGGTGGGAAGAAGTGGCTCGCCAATTTGTAAACTTTTTAATAAACAGTCGAGTGCTTGCTCGTAATCTCCGTTGTGGTAGTGAGCAAATGACAGATGAGCAAGACAATAGCTGATTTCTGGATGATCAAATGAATAGATTTTTTTCAAAAGTCGGTGAGCTCGCTCAAAGTTATTGAAACTTGTATTGTCATAACCTTTATCGAAATGAACAAGACCCATGTTTATCAGTACTTGAGCTATACCTAGGGATGTGCAGTATCAGTATACTGACCGCCGATAATATCACACTGGCGTTCACTGGTGCGGTGACGACACTGACACTGAGCGCACTGTCTGCAGTGACATACTGACACTAAGCGCACTGACTACAGTGCCTGCACTGACATTTGTGTTCACTGAATCAGTGCATACACTGACACTGACTACACTTGTTGCACTGACGCATACTGGAACACTGACGTACTGATACTGATTCCATTGACTAGAATTTATACACAGAAGACGACGACATATTCCGCTTGTAATATGTGGATTAACCAAAAATTTTCACCGAATGGAAGCATATCTGCTTAGTAGTTTGATTTCTTGGTTGAGATTAGCTACATCAAGGGGGTAAGTGCAGGTTTGGAACCCCCAGCACATCAGCACCATCTCAGCACCACAGCACCTTTCCAGCATCATGTCAGCACCTTTTGATACCAAAAGCTGGTTCATTCATGTGAAAATGATTTACAAAAACTAGTTTTATTTTCGATAATAGAAATGTAGCTTTGCTTCAAATATACGATAATATGAAAATACTAAGTTCCAAAAGAAGAACATCAAAATTGTTTTACAGTATTAATCGCAACAACAGAATAAAAACTATTTTAAAAAGAAAATTTGTTACTGTTTATTTCGAACACGTATTAATTAATAACTTGATAACCGACTCCTGCTGTCTGTCAACAGTCAGCATGCCGTTTGTTTATGTAAATATTTTAATGATGTACCTATTCGAATACGAACATATTTTTTGGCATGTTGCGGATTGATTATGTCGTATATTCGACAGCCGTGAAAATTCTGTCGTTCTACATCAGAAAGATCACTTGCCAGAATGTTACCTTCATCATCATCATCATCATCATCATCAGTACTATTAGTAGATAATCGATGTTCATCATCAAGTATTTCTGAATCATTTATTTCATCTTTCAATTCATCATCATCACTATCTTGATCAAGATTAATACCTTCTGTATTATCTACTACTTTCGACGATGATTTACTTGTATTAGTTTTTATATAACGACTTAATTCAGGTAATGTGTATATGTTTTTATTAATTAATAACTTGGTCATATTGACCACTGCAACATATTTTTTAGCTAATTCAAATGCATTTTCTATAAGCTTTTCAATATCAGATTCTGTTAAATTCAATTGTTTAATAGGATTTATCGAATAATTATTTATTTCTTTGTCATTCTTATGGTGTTGTGGAAATTTAAAATTATAGTCATTTATTTGTCCTTCGTGAGTTTTAATTGAATTGATGATTGATATTTTTTCACATCTCTTTATGAAGAACTTTACAGTACAGTTGGTGATTGATGAATAAGGACCTGATAAAGCACGAGCAACACGGAAAGTATTTTCACATGCTTGTGAATTAAAAATATATGTATTCAGTGCATCAATGGGTAATTTTTTTTAATAACTAATAGAATTATATGAAGTAGTGTGTGAGCATTTATTTCACTGCACCAAAAGGTTGGCTTCGTAATAAAACTATTTGCTTTAATTTTTTTTATTGATTCTGAATTATCATCGTTACTGCTGTTTTTTTCTTTTACATTCTGTATCCATGCCCAGCAAAATCTGCAAGTAAATACTACTGTCCATATATTATACAATCGTTCTTCAATTGTTGATGATTTATCTATTAATCCGGTTATAATCAAGTGTAACAATGATAAATATACATATGTTCCTTTATAATTTTCCTTCTTATTTAATAAGTTTAAAATAGTTTCAGAAGATATTCTTCGACAAGATGCAAAATTCTGTCTCTCTTTTGGACTAACATCACATTTAATTAAATTATGTTCAAGTTTATTGTTTAATTCAATTAAGTTCATCAAGTGTTGAATATCAATTGAATAATCACCCATCTTCATCAATGCTACTTCAGAAAGAAGTCTATTTCGAAATTTTGTTGCGATATGCGGCGGGTCTTGCATAAAAAGCAAAATTTGTTGGTCTTTCATAAAAAACCATGACCATTGCTCTGGTATTTTTATATTAAAATTATCATTATATTTATAAAGATTTAAATTAGGTAATTCAGCAAAAAATCGAGTACATAATCTCATTGTTTTGAGACAACGTGGATCACCATCAGAACTAAAACCTATTACACGTATATCCTGCAATAAACACTGATTGTAGATATATAACCATCTCTTTAAAACATCCGTTGCTGTGAATTTGTTGTCTGACCCGAAAGCCGACAAAATAAATGGTGAAGCTGATGGTACTACTGTCTGTATCATATGAATGTTAATAAATTTTGATTTATTACAATTATTAAACCACATTTTTAATTCTTCGAAATTTTCTGTTCGGAAAAAATTTGGTTGTGGCATTCCATCAATTAAAGGTGATGCAAATCCAATGAAAGAATTTAATTGTACATCATAATCAATATGACAAATACAACTGGTACAATCTTCAGAAGAAAATATATAATTACAATTATTTGATTGTGAGTATTCTTTTAACAATTTAAATCGAAATTCACATTCAATTATTCTCACTTCCTGGTTTCTCATTAATAATTCTAAATTAGATATATTATGAGGTAATGCACCAGGTAAATTTAATCGAAGAAATTCGTAACAATTTCTTCCACCAAGAATAAACAATAATAAAGCAAACTGTTGAATATGAATATCATAACTAAATTTATTCTTCGTTTTTTTTTTAAATTTTCAAAAATATTTTTAATCCATGGAATAAGAATAGGAACATTAATCTCATTCAATGAGCTAGATGAGTGCTTCCATATTTCTATTAGCTTTTTAAAAATATCATTTTCTATATGTTCATATGTTAATTCGAGATTTTTAACTAATGAGTTTTTTTCAATTTTACTAATAATAATAAACGTTCAAGTAAATTTCGAAAACCTAGTCGAAGATGGAAATTTCCATCAACTGACACAAATCCAAGTGCTTTTTTTAAATAATTTAATTCTACAATATCAAAAGTAAGTATTTGTATTAATTGATCTACTGTTATTAAATGACAAAGAAGACATATCTCGGGTAGCTTGTATTCGAAAAAGCTTGCATAAATCTTTATTGAAAGCACTTTCTAAAAATGCATAGAAGTTATCATAACTTAAATTCATCATATCATCTGTTAATTCATCAAGTTGAAAAATATCCATTGCCAGTATTGTACAAGTATTGTTGTTTGCGATAAAATACTGTTGATCGTAAAGTTAAGAATGAGAAAAGTATAGAAATAAATTTGTTCAATATAAAATCAACAGTTTCTTTATTTTAAATAATTACAGATATAATTATACATCGTTTTGAATACAAAAATTAACATCTAGTCTCGCAGTAAAGCAAATAAAATAGAGAAAAAAAAAACTTCTTTTCTTTAACAAAGAAATAAAAACGAGGAAGATCAAATATCAAGAGGAAATACAAAAATATCTAACGTGAAACTGAATAGAAAATAAATCTATATTATATTTTCATATGCTTAAGTAAAAGATGAATATGAATTATTAAATAATTTTCTATTATGATCAGATATTTTCTATTCTTGTGATGTATCTGTATTATTTGTTGATAACTGTCGCTTCTTTTTGACTATCATACTCTTAATTTTTGAAGATTCTTTTATTGATGGTGATCGAAATCGTTTCGACCCTGCACGGGTTGACGTCTTGTTCTTGTTTGATACAGTAATTAATGAATCCGAAGAAGAGCTTGATATATTTGATTCACTTGTAGTTGAATTTTCATTAATATTTGTATCATTTTCTTCTCCATGTTTCTAAATATGTAAAAACCTTGTAGGAATACTTTTATCTTGAGAAATACTTACCATCTTCGAAAGTTTTAAACATTGTTTTTCTTTGATGTGACGATAAAATGACGATAATTTGAAAAAACCTGGTGTAATAAATGGTAATTGAAAACGCTTATTATATTGACATATTAACAAACAAATGAATGTGTTATTATTTAACGATTTATTCATATGCAGAAAATAATCCGTACCTTCGTCCAAAGATAAATCATCATTATTAATTGTGCTCCACCATTTATTAATTCGTTTTTTAATGTCGATTTTATGATCAATTTCATTCAATTTTTTTTGTATTGGTGGTAATCTTGATGGTGTTGGTGATATCTCACTCGAAGATGGAGTAAGTAATGTTGACACTGGTAAAGATGTTTCAAGTTGTGATTGTGTTTCATTGGTGGATGTTATTGTATTACCATTTGACGATGAACGTTTAGCTGAATATCGTTTTTTTTCCCTCTTTTCTTGTTCATGTTTCATTGTTAACAACTGGATGAAATTTTCGATTGCAAGTTTAAGACCTAATTTTATTTCATATTTATTACCAGCGATTTGAAAACAACACATTTTTTTTCAGTTGATTAAGATCGTTGGATTCCTGTTGGAAAATCATCAAGATCTCATCACATGATGTACTTAAAAGATGTGCTCCATTTCGAATTGCCTGAAAACTTAATAATTCAGCAATATCAGCACCATATTTTTCTTCAACAAATTGATAAAATCGATCATTATTATAACTGAAAACATCAGCTGGTAAATCATTATTATTTTCTGTTGCTTCAGAAACTATTGATGACATTGATAGATTGAAAAAATTTTATCTTAAACAAGCAGATTTATCGTAGAAAATGGGTGGAAAGAAACAATAAACATAAACACCAAAAATAGTTAATCTCACACTGTCATTGACCTATCGACATGTTGTTATTTTGAATGTAAATATGTCATAGTGCGATTAAACAGATGAATATTAGTTTTTTTTGAAGATAATCGAAACAATTTGAACTTTTGAGATTTAAGTTGATGATGCTAAAATGTATTTATATAAGAAATTTATGCTAATTATATCGCTTTTTTTAATTAACTGTCTTACAAAATGTTTTTTTGATTATGTTGAAGAAACTTGGTGTCGTTCAAATAAACTAACAATGGAAACAGGTCTAATCAAATGATTAATAGCGTAATAGAGCATGCTGCTTTTTTTTGTCTCCCGATGAGAACGTAATAACAGATAGCTGCATCGAAAAACATTCAATTACAAAATATTGAAAAATGGGAAAATTTTCTGATTGGATATCTGGTCTGCTCATTAAAATTGTGAGGTAGTAATAAGCATAATAGAGAGCGCTGTCAGTCTATTGTATATAATCACCCTAATTTATATGCTGCACTTGAAAAATCTTTCAGCATCTACGTACCACTCCAGCATCTCAGCATCAATTCAGCACCACTGCACCAATTCAGCACCTCAGCACCAATTCAGCACCTCAGCACCAATTCAGCACCAATTCAGCACAATCTCAGCATCTTTTGGCATAATTTGGTGCACTGGTGCAGCACTTACCCCCTTGTCAAAACCAGTATTTGATAAGTTTATCAAGGACCATAGTAGTGCATTCAGACTTGCCGCAGATCCAATGAAAATGTACAACAGGTTAATTTCCCAAATAAATCATTGGTTAGAACAAGAACAAAAATAATAGTAATAATAATAGTAAATTAAGAAAAACAAATAAAAAAATAAGTCGCAAGCGAATGACAACAACACAAATAAATAATGAAGGGCCAGTAAAAAAATAACAGAAAAAACTCTGTTAGAAACGCAGAAATAAATAAGACAGATCGATTCTCTAAGGATCAATTATTCTTGAAAAGCAATTAATATCTGTTAGATATTATTCAACTTGCGTATTTTGTATTGTTATGATGAAGCCAAAGAAGACATGAAGTCCATGACAAATCTCAGCAAAAATCACCACTAGAATTCCGCTCCCAATAATATATACATAGATAGATGAAGGTCTGTCTAAAATTTATGATATCTTATAGAAAACTTTCTTTTCTCTCTAATAACAAATAAAAAAGGGTCAAAATTGGACTGATAGTCAAGCAGTACCAAATGAGTATCAATCTAAATGTTCACAACAATAGCTTAAGTGATAGTGAAGACATATAATAGCAAACTAAAAGATTTTTTTTGCATCATCTAATTAAGTAACCGGGTGCCGCCGATAAACGGTCGTATTTTGTATCTTTTCTTCTCAGTTTCTAATATGTTTGTTGCAAAAAAAATATATCAGAAGATAGAGCGTCAAAAGATCTACAATAAAAAGCTTATTTTATATATGGTCTCTCAGTATTCAAAATCAGCAGATTTCGAAGTGAATGAATTCTGATGTAGCGAAAAAGTTATTTTTTATACATGATGAATTCGTTTTTTCTTTATTTTCTCTTTTCATCATTTTCATCCATTTTGAACACTAAAAGATCATATATAAAATAAGCTTTCTATTGTAGATTTTAGATCTTCTCACGCTCCACCTTCTGATATATTTTTTTCAAGAAAAATATTAGAAATTGAGAAAAAAAAGATAGAAAGTAAAACTTTTTATCATGGACACCGGTTACTTGATTAAACGGTAAGAAAATAATCTTTTAGTTTGAAGTTATATTTTCACGATAGCTTGAGCTTTAGTTGTGAAAATTTAGAGTGAAATTCATCTGATATTGCTTGACTATTAGTTCAATATTGAGCTTCTTTTGATTTTACATAAGACAGAGAAGAGAAATTTTTCTGTGAAGTACCAAAACTTTTGGATCACCCTTTAGGTAGGTAGATTGAGAAATACATAGATAGTTAGACAGATAGTAAAATAGATAGTTAGGTAAATAGTTACGTATATAGTTAGATAGACAGGCAGATAGGTAGTTAGGTAGTTAGGTAGATAGATAGATAGATACATAGATAGATAGGTAGGTAGGTGGATAGATAGGTAGGTAGATACATAGGTAAATAGATAGATAGACAGATAGGTAGGAAGACAGGTAGGCAGATAGATAGATTGATAGATAGATAGTTAGCTAGATAGATAGGTAGATGGATAGATAGATAGGTAGGTATATGTTCTAGTGATAATATCACTGATATTCGTGTAGTTAAAGGTAAAAAGGCCAATATTTTTCCCACACACACGGCAAAACACGATCGTTTACGACCGTATACGCTCCGTATATCACCTTCGTTTTTCTCCGTATTTCGCCGTATACGGTTACGGAAATATACGATCGTAATACTGAATCGTGTAATACGGTGAAATACCGTCGTATACGGAGCGTATATGGTATATATACGGTTGTCTACGACGTCGTAAACGGTCGTATACGGAGTCCGTAACGCTCGACCTGGGTATAGAATAGAATTTTTTCCTTTCAATTGATGAATTTATTTACGAAATATACTTAGATTTACATGCATTTTCATGAACCTTTGATATGAAAAATAAACCTTTGACATAGACAACAGAAAAAAATCTATTGTGACCATTGGATTTATCTAACTTAATCATATAATTTACTAAAAAGAAAAATACAGAAAGAAAATGTATTTCTGAATAAATGTTTACAACGGCAGTAAATCCTGTAATCCATACAAAAAATTACTTCTCTTTCTATTTTTTCTTAGAGGCACTTTACTTTCGAACAGTTCATGTGCATGTAAGAAATATATAACGGGCATATACTCTCAAATCCCGCTCTGTCTTGTGGCCGATTTCTTTTCAACGACCTGCTTGAACGGTGGTACATGTACGTACAGTATATCGACGAGTACAAGTACTTGTTCATGCGTTTCGAGCTCTTGGACAGGCGTGTGGGCATGTCTGGAAGATAGACAAAACTTAAACTTGATAGCCATTAACATTCTTTTTCTTTTATCTCCCTAGGAAGTTATTGTCAAACTCGTGAGTTTATATCTGACTGCTAGAATACAATCAGACAAGCCATTTCTTCTTCTTGTATGTGTTCTTTTAGCTCTATGCCCTAATTGTAATTATAATTGTGATTATGGTTCTTGTAATTCACCGTCGAGCTGTTATTGCAATAGTGGTTCGAATCTATTCAGAAACTATCTATAAAGTTCATGTCTAGTTACAAGTACATCTAAAAATGTCCTACATATATTTTCAATTGCTCATTACCAAGGAACATGCTGTAACTCGACAATTATAAGTGGTCAATGTCTGTTGCTGAGTCTGGCGAGCACAACCTCTTGGGATGAGCAGTCTACTGAAGGCTATCTCAAATATTATTCATTTGAAAAAAAAAATATTAACTTTTATCTTCACAGGTGGTGGATTTAACAATACTTTCTATGATCATGAAAATGATGTACTCGATATTTCCAGCGCAACAGGAAAAACTCTTACAGTTGCTGCATGTTTCTATGGTATTAATAGTGCCGCTCCTGGACGTGGTGGATCGACAGTTTCGGCAAATTGTCTCTCTATGAATGTTTCATCTACATGTCGTACACTATGTAATTCGTCTTATTGCTATTACACAATTAACAATGCAAATTTTGGTGACACCTACTTTGGGCAGGTGCAGACATTTTGGATGCGTTTTACATGCTCGTAATTCGAGATAGACATATCAATAATTTTGTGTATTCTTTTAAAGTTCCTCCTTCTGTTAACTAAAAGTCTACAGTGAGGGTATGGGGCGTGAGTGTGGGCGTGGGCGCGCTTGCGCGCGCAATTATTCTACAAATCTTAGACCAAATCCATAGCCACATTCACAACCCAACCACACCTAGTGGAATACTTGTACAAATAGGATCATAATCCGCACCAAATTCAGATGGAATAAACCATTTGATCTCTACATCAGTTGCAGATTCAACTAAAGTTGTACCAAAACTATTGAATAATCCTTCTCCACCCACAGTCGAAATGACCATATCTTGATCAATAAGAGGTTTAGTCAGTGCATTTTTATTTCAATGATCGACTTTGATCACTTTAACATAGGATGGAAATGTTTTTTTTTTCGAATTATTATGAGAAAGAATGCTTACATT